CTAATTCAGTTTTCCACTGTCCAGTCACCTCTCATTCAGTTCTCCACTATCCAGTAACCCCTAATTCAGTTTTCCACTGTCCAGTCACCTCTCATTCAGTTCTCCACTATCCAGTAACCCCTAATTCAGTTTTCCACTGTCCAGCCACCTCTAATTAAGTTTTTCCACTGTCCAGTCACCTCTAATTCAGTTCTCCACTATCCAGTAAGCCCTATTTCAGTTTTCCACTGTCCAGTAACTCCTAATTCAGTTTTCCACTGTCCAGTCACCTCTAATTCAGTTCTAACACTACTAATATTCAGTCAACTCTAATTTAGTTCTCACACTATCCAGTCACCTCTAATTCAGTTTTCCACTATCCAGTAACCCCTATTTCAGTTTTCCACTGTCCAGTCACGTCACCTCTAATTCAGTTCTAACACCACTAATATTCAGTCAACTCTAATTTAGTTCTCCCACTATCCAGTCCCCTCTAATTCAGTTCTAACACTACTAATATACAGTCAACTCTAATTTAGTTCTCACACTATCCAGTCAACACTTATTCAGTTTTCCACTATCCAGTAAGCCCTATTTGAGTTTTCCACTGTCCAGCCACCTCTAATTAAGTTTTTCCACTGTCGAGTAACCTCTCATTCAGTTCTAACACCACTAATATTCAGTCAACTCTACTTTAGTTATCACACTATCCAGTCACCTCTCATTCAGTTCTCCACTATCCAGTAACCCCTATTTCAGTTTTCCCTATCCAGTCACCTCTAATTCAGTTTTTCCACTGTCCACTCACCTCTAATTCAGTTCTCCACTATCCAGTCACCCCTAATTCAGTTTTCCTCTGTCCAGTCACCTCTAATTCAGTTTTTCCACTGTCCAGTCACCTCTCATTCAGGTCTCCACTATGCCCTAATTCAGTTTTTCAACTGTCCAGTCACCTCTCATTCACTTCTAAGACTACTAATATCCAGTCACCTCTAATTTAGTTCTAACCCTATCCAGTCACCTCTAATTCAGTTTTTCCACTGTCCACTCACCTCTAATTCAGTTCTCCACTATCCAGTCACCCCTAATTCAGTTTTCCTCTGTCCAGTCACCTCTAATTCAGTTTTTCCACTGTCCAGGCACCTCTCATTCAGTTCTCCACTATCCAGTCACCCCTAATTCAGTTTTCCACTGTCCAGTCGCCTCTAATTCAGTTTTCCACTGTCCAGTCAGCTCTCATTCAGTTTTTCCACTCTCCAGTCACCTCTAATTCAGTTCTCCACTATCCAGTCACCCCTAATTCAGTTTTCCACTGTCCAGTCGCCTCTAATTCAGTTTTCCACTGTCCAGTCACATCTCATTCAGTTCTCCACTAACCAGTAACCCCTATTTCAGTTTTCCACTGTCCAGTAACTCCTAATTCAGTTTTCCACTGTCCAGTCGCCTCTAATTCAGTTTTCCACTGTCCAGTCAGCTCTCATTCAGTTTTTCCACTCTCCAGTCACCTCTAATTCAGTTTTCCACTATCCAGTCACCTCTCATTCAGTTCTCCACTATCCAGTAACCCCGATTTCAGTTTTCCACTATCCAGTCACCTCTAATTCAGTTTTCCACTATCCAGTCACCTCTAATTCAGTTATCCACTATCCAGTCACCCCTAATTCAGTTTTCCACTGTCCAGCCACCTCTAATTAAGTTTTTCCACTGTCCAGTCACCTCTAATTAAGTTTTTCCACTGTCCAGTCACCTCTAATTAAGTTTTTCCACTGTCCAGTCACCTCTAATTAAGTTTTTCCACTGTCCAGTCACCTCTAATTAAGTTTTTCCACTGTCCAGTCACCTCTAATTCACTTCTAACACTACTAATATCCAGTCCCCTCTAATTTAGTTCTAACACTATCCAGTCACCTCTAATTCAGCTTTTCACTGTCCAGTCACCTCTCATTCAGTTCTCCACTCCAGTAAGCCCTATTTCAGTTTTCCACTGTCCAGTAACTCCTAATTCAGTTTTCCACTGTCCAGTCGCCTCTAATTCAGTTTTCCACTGTCCAGTCCCCTCTCATTCAGTTCTCCTCTATCCAGTAACCCCTATTTCAGTTTTCCACTGTCCAGTAACTCCTAATTCAGTTTTCCACTGTCCAGTCGCCTCTAATTCAGTTTTCCACTGTCCAGTCCCCTCTCATTCAGTTCTCCTCTATCCAGTAACCCCTATTTCAGTTTTCCTCTGTCCAGTCAGCTCTAATTCAGTTTTTCCACTCTCCAGTCACCTCTAATTCAGTTCTCCACTATCCAGTAAGCCCTATTTCAGTTTTCCACTGTCCAGTAACTCCTAATTCAGTTTTCCACTGTCCAGTCACCTCTAAGTCAGTTTTCCACTGTCCAGTCACCTCTCATTCAGTTTTCCACTATGCCCTAATTCAGTTTTTACACTATCCAGTCCCCTCTAATTCAGTTTTCCACTGTCCAGTCACCTCTAAAACAGTGATCCACTATCCAGTCACCTCTCATTCAGTTCTCCACTATGCCCTAATTCAGTTTTTACACTATCCAGTCACCTCTAATTCAGTTCTCTACTATCCAGTAACTCCTAATTAAGTTTTTAACTTTCCAGTCATCCCTTATTCAATTGTTACATTATTTAGTCACTCCTAATCCAGTTGCGAATCTATCCAGTGACCTCCAATTCCATTGTCACACTCTAATTCAGTTCTCACACTATCCAGTCACCTTATTCAGTTGTCACACTATCAAGTCAACCCTCATTCAGTTGTCGTACTATCCAGTCATCCCTCATTTAATTGTCACATTATCCAGTCACCCCTCATTCAGTTGTTACACTATCCATTCAGCCCTGATTCAGTTGTCTCACTATCTAGCCACAATTTATCTGGTTGTCTAACCATCCAGTTACCGTTAATCTGGTTGTCTAACTATCCAGCCACCATTTATCTGTTTGTCCTACTTTCCAGTCACCGTTAATCTGGTTGTCTCACTATCTAGCCACCATTTTTTTTAGCTGTCTCACTATCCAGTAACCTTTAATCTGGTTGTCTAACTAGTCAGCCACCATTTATATGTTTGTCCCACTATTCAGTCACCGTTAATCTGGTTGTCTAACTATCCATCCACCGTTAATCTGGTTGTCCCACTATCCAGCCACCATTAATCAGACTGTCCCATTATCCAGCCACCATTAATCTGGTTATCCCACTATCCAGCCACCATTAATCTGGTTGTCCCACTATCCAGTCACCGTTAATCTGGTTGTCCCACTATCCAGTTACCGTTAATCTGGTTGTCCCACTATCCAGCCACCATTAATCTGTTTTCCCACTAGTCAGCCACCATTAATCTGGTTGTCCCACTATCCAGTCACCGTTAATCTGGTTGTCCCACTATCCGGTTACCGTTAATCTGGTTGTCCCACTATCCGGTTACCGTTAATCTGGTTGTCCCACTATCCAGCTACCGTTAATCTGATTGTCCCACTATCCAGCCACCATTAATCAGACCGTCCCACTATCCAGCCACCTTTAATCTGGTTGTCTCACTGTACATCCACTATTTATCTGTTTGTCCCTCTATCGAGTCAACGCTAATCTGGTTGTCTCACTATTCAGCCACTATTTATCTGTTTGTCCCTCTATCCAGTCACCGTTAATCTGATTGTCTCACTATACAGCCACCATTTATCTGTTTTCCCACTATCCAGTCACCGTTAATCTGGTTGTCCCATTATCCAGTTACCGTTAATCTGGTTGTCCCACTATCCAGCCACCATTAATCAGACTGTCACACTATACAGCCACCTTTAATCTGGTTGTCTCACTGTACAGCCACTATTTATCTGTTTGTCCCTCGATCGAGTCACCACTAATCTGGTTGTCTCACTATACAGCCACCATTTATCTGTTTTCCCACCATCCAGCCACCATTTATCTGTTTTCCCCCTATCCAGCCACCATTTATCTGTTTTCCAACTATCCAGTCACCGTTAATCTGCTTGTCCCATTATCCAGTTACCGTTAATCTGGTTGTCCCACTATCCAGCCCCCATTAATCAGACTGTCCCACTATCCAGCCACCTTTAATCTGGTTGTCTCACTGTACATCCACTATTTATCTGTTTGTCCCTCGATCGAGTCACCACTAATCTGGTTGTCTCACTATACAGCCACTATTTATCTGTTTGTCCCTCGATCGAGTCACCACTAATCTGGTTGTCTCACTATACAGCCACTATTTATCTGTTTGTCCCTCTATCGAGTCACCACTAATCTGGTTGTATCACTATACAGTCACTATTTATCTGTTTGTCCCTCTATCGAGTCACCACTAATCTGGCTGTCCTTCTGACCACTCGTTGGTGATAATATTGTACCACTTTATACATGTTACCAGTATAAAGTATAAACCTGAATGTTTGTTTGTGTGTTATGTATCAGTAACATGCCTTATTGTAATGCGGTGTCATTAACAAAATTCTATCTGAGAATCTGGACTGATCAGAGATAACCTTTCACAATACAATGTTTCACATGAAATGTGTATTATGATATGGGTCCTTAATACATTTGTTTGTTTACTTCAGATGGAGTAACCGTTGAGGACACGGGTCCCGTTGGAGCTCTCCACTCCCACTACCTCGACGTGTTCAGTTACATGGTGTACTCCAGCACCCGAAACAATAAGGCTAGAATGGTGGTCGAGGTTTTCTTCAAACTCATCCCCGTCCTCAAGGATCTTAGCGGGAGCATCAACCATTTCACGGAGTCCGTCCTTCTTGAACAGAACCCTGAACTGCTGTTCAGGAACTTACTCTGATCTACCATAATGTTGTGTTCACTTCACATAATACTTTTAATGGTCGTTAAGTTTATATATACTGTATGTATGTCAACTTCATCAGTCATACTTTTCGATTTGCAGTTCCAGGACAAAATCATCGAATGTTGATATATGTGATATCGCTCCACTGAAGAACAAGACAGCATAAATATAAACCTTGCTTAGATGCTTATTCAGATGAGTTTCCAAAGTTGTAAAAAGGTATTTAAACGAGTGTCGTGAAATCACTAATACCCGTGGGTGTTTAAATTTCGTTGATTTCATGGGTATTCTCCATTAACAAATGTATACGTCCACGAAGTAATTACAAGTTTGAAATAAAGCGACTCTCCGTATAAGTGGGTACTAGTAATCAACTAATTTCTTTTCTCCAAAACGAAGATTATATTAACAGAATAGTTACATACAAGAATTAATCAACATATATACATACATAGATATTGAAAAAGTACAAACGTATCGTTATTTTAATGTGTACATAAATATTTTATAAGAGAAGGGAGATGTACATACAATCAGACGATTTGTAATAATTTTTTAACATTTGATACACATGTGATATTACCTTTAATCTTAATTGTTCATAATCTTCAGATATATCTTATAATTTAATTCACTACCCAATAGGGTATTAGTCAAATCAAAATCAGGTTAATTATACAAATAAACATTGAGTTGTATATCACATATACTAATTAAATGACACCATACTTTGTCTCTTACTTCAGTAGTTTTGTCACAATGTAAGATAATATGTGTAACAGTATCATAGTATAATTTACCACAATAATGACATAATTCCATGAGTTTTGACATACGAGACATTTCACAAACTCTTAAGGTACAGTGTATAGATTTAGAATACTGTGGATACTTTGCAGCTAATTACCATAAATAATGTGACTCGAGCGTATGGTGAATGGACATAAATCTTACAAAATCGTTGTCATCTGACAAACGTTGTAACCATGCATTTTCTTCGGTTTGATATACACTTTTATATCCAACTTTTTTCCACTGTCTGGCACCTAATTTTATATAAATATTTTCTAAGGATACATATAATATCTGGTATAAATCCATATTGTTTCCCATCATTTACATTGAACATAAAAATCGAGTGACAAATATTCTGTGTACTAGTGTCTGTACATGCGTCCATACTATATATTCGTCCCGAAAATAATATTTTTTTAATATGAATATAAGACGCAATACTTGTCCAGCCTAGTAATGAATTACACATATCGGTCCTGGTTCTTTTTTCAAACCCTTGTATAAATTTTACAATATAGCTCTTTGCTCTGTCCAACATTAATACTTCTGTTTTAGAAAGAAACCAAAGTTCAAACCCATATAAGGCAGACGGGTACACTTTAATTTTAATCAACTTAGCAACAGTGAGGGGATTGAGCGCGCACGGATGAGCACCGGACCTAAGTAGTGACATAGTACCAGATTTTAACCTACTACATGCTCTAGTAGTTTCCATTGAATTTCTTCTGCCATTTTACAATATTCCAACATGTTTAATTTCTTCAACAACTGACAGTACGCGTTTGTATAGATAGACATTTTGTATATTATGTAATGTTCGTTTGTATAGGTAGACATTTGGTATATTATGTAATGTACGTTTGTATAGGTAGACATTTTGTATATTATGTAATGTACGTTTGTATAGGTAGACATTTTGTATATTATGTAATGTACGTTTGTATAGGTAGACATTTTGTATATTATGTAATGTACGTTTGTATAGGTAGACATTTTGTATATTAT